GGAGCCATAATTTTGTCTAGATAGCTGGAGATAAGTTCGGTAGGGCAACTGCAAGCCGAGACAATGGGCCGACCCGGGTTGTTAGGTTTGTGAATTTTAGATAAAAAGTAAATACGAGAAGTTCTAGGAGTGGTTATGATAAGATTTTTTGCTGTGGCCGGCAATTCTTGTTTAGTTATGAGTTGGTTGATCGTATTCTTGACGGAGTTTTGATTGCTGGCAGTGAGGTCTTTTTCGATCTTTTGATAAAAAGAGGTGTCAGAAAGTTGCCGCAAAGCAGCTTTTTTTCGGTAGAGGTCGGTGCGCCAAACAACGACTGAGCCACCCTTATCGGCCGCTTTGATAACTATGTCTTTGTAGACATAGATGTCTATGTCTTTGTAGACATAACTTTGTCTTTGTAGACAAAGGGTGCCTCTAAAGTCACATTCGGGTCCTGTGCATATGACAGCTGTCAAAAGGAAAGTACCACGTACGATTTATTGCGGCGAAATCAAGAGTGTGGCACCCCTGAAAAATTGTCCGTATCTCGCTTGGAGCTTCAAGCTGCAGTCTTAGCCTCCCAATTTTGTAAGACCATTGTGGAGGAATTCCACTTCCAATTTAAGAAAGTCATCCTTTTCCTGGAAAGGAAATAGGGAATAGTTCTGGCTGTAGTGAAGCTAGAACGTTGAAAACGTTTGTTTCAGTCAGAGTTGGTGAGATCCAGATTAATACGGACCCTATACAGTGGAAACATTCTTGAACGTAGCTGACGATGTTTCTCGTGGCGTACCAGTACGAAATTTGCTTCAGAACTGGCAACATCGACCTGTCTTATCACGCTTGCTTGAAAATGAATGGCCACATGATTCATCAATTATTAACCAACGCGAACCTTAAGAAGAATGCCTCAAAGTTCATAACTGAACGTCTGCGTTCAGACAAGGATTGAAGATCCAATCAATTGCCAAAAGTTCTTGAGCTGGAGAAAACTAATCAGAATTACAGCCTACATGCTAATACTAATTTGGAACCTGCAAGCACAACGCTACAACAAACCACACCCGGAGAAAAATGCCATGAGGCCTAGAGAGGGTCCTCTGCTACCCCAAGAGTTACAAAACGCAGAATGTCATTGGATTGAAGAAATTCAGAAAAGAAGTCTCGGTGGCCGCTTTAAAAAGGGAGAAAAAGCTCAGCCCATACACATATTCTAATGGCATTGTCCGAGTAGGTGGTCGAGTAGACAAAGCCTTAGTCTCTTACGAAACCAAACATCTTGTGTTACTCCCGAGAAAGCAATGGATATCTCTTCTCATAACACACCATGTACAGCATTGTAGGCACTCAGCAGTAGCAGCGACACAAGGAGGGGAACACAAGGAGAAAGCTCTGAATACGTAGAGTCCACTATCTTGCAAAATAAGTACAGTTTCGATGCGCGTTCTACAGTGAGGTGCAAGCTAAGGCCAAATCTCAATTCATGGCTGAATTGCCTTAATGCCGGCTGGCACCTTTTACACGTCTGTTTTATTACACGACCTGCGACTACGTTGGCCCGCACTGTGTTGAAATGGTCGCAACAAGACAATCAAGTACTACGGAGTCATATTTACGTGTCTGTATACAAGAGTAGTTCACTTAGAGCTTGCGGTAAACTTTCGAGGCGCGGTGGCCACATGGTTAGTGCGCTCGACTCCGGATCGAATGGTCCGGGTTGGGTCCGCCTTGGCCGGGAACATTGTGCTGTGTCCTTGGGCAAGACACTTTACTCTCTCTCAGTGCCTCTTTTCACCTAAGAGAATTAAATGAGTACCAGCGAATTTAATACTGGGGGTAACCCTGCAATGGACTAGCATTCCATCCACAGGTGAGAAGAAAAACCCCTAGTCACTTCATGCCACGGAAACCGGAGTTAAGTGCAATGGGTCACTTGGCTCATAAGCAGGTTTTACCTTTATCTTGCAGTAGAATACTTAACTATGGAATTTATTCAAGTACTCCGAAGATTTATTTCCGTAAGGGGACAAAACAACCTCTTGATAAGCTACAATGGATCCCAGCCCATTGGAGCAGAGCGAAAGCTAAAGGAAATGATCAGCGGATGAGAATCCGAAAAGCTGCGTGATTTCTCAGCAGAGAAAGACATTCAGTGGAAATTTATCACACCAGCATCTCTACATCAAAACAGATGAGCGGAAGCGTTAGTGAAGGGCTTAAAATTACTCTTAAAAAGACTATTGGAGAGCTAGTGTTAACACCCTACGATTTCTATAAGTGCCTATTGGAAGTCGCCAACCTCGCCAATCAACGTCCAATTGGCCGCATTAAAAACGAGCCTAATGATGGATCGTACATTTGTCCGAATGACCTGCTCCATGGGCAAGCATCATCTCATGTGCCACAAGGCCCTTTCAGAGAAACTAAGAATCTGCCTCTACGAGTCTATTTCGTTTAAAAGATTATGGATTGGTTTTGAAAGCGGTGGATAAGGGATTTGTACCCGTCATTAATTCCATGAAAGAAACGGAATGTAGAGAAACGAAATGTTCAAGAAAAGAATTTGTTGATGGTCCAAACCCCCAAATGCAATTCGCGGGAACTGGAATATCGGTCAGAATCGTCAACGTTTACCTCAGACAAAATGGTAAAGGCCAAAACGTCGGTGTAAAGACCAGTACTCGAGTGTATGACAGCCTGGTTACAAAGGTTGCAGTGCTTCATCCAGCGGAAGGTCACGGGTTAGGATGAGGAAAACGTTCTCATCGGGATGGAGTGTGTTTCACTGATGAACATTTATTTATTAAGATTTAGTATTAAGTTCATGTTTACTGTTGTGCGAGCGCTCCATTTACTTTTATATATAATAAGAATTTCGCAATGTTTGTCGCCTAAATCGTTTAATTTTTTCAGTTGTCTACTAGTTCAGTTTAACCAAGCTAGCCAGTTGTGTGTTGTCACATTATATACGATTCTCTTCCGTACTGGATCTTGGTCTTCTTTTCGAAGGAACAGTAACGCTCTGTCAGTGATTCAACTGACAGTAATTGACCTATGCGTGACTGACACATACAAGTAGCACATCAGCTACGATTTTAATGGAAGGACGTCAGGGTTCTTCTTCCTCGAATCGCCTTGTAGGGGAAAATCATTACCGTTTTTCCTTCGCAATCTTATCTGGCACGAGTGATAACTTAGGGCTCGACTAAGGAATTATCAATTTTCTCCAGATGGCCTTTTAAACAGAACCATCGAAAAGGCAAACGCTGTCTTTCCTTACATTTTCATACATAAACATACCGTTAATAAGAAAAAAATTTTAAAGGATGGATTTTGTTTACTGTAGAATTGAACCCATAATCACTCGTTTCTGGCCTACCAGTCAGTCCTCTGCGCCACATCTGCACATTTTCAACTTCAGTAAAACAGTATATAATAAAGCAACTTAAATGGTGACAATATGTAGACAATGGGCATCTCAGCCTGTATGTAGACCCTTTGCATTTAAACAAAATAATCTTACCATTTTTAATTATAGTATCAGGAAGAGCCTCTTTTCCACATGAAAACTCTTTTTCACATGACAACATATTGCTGGAATGATGTATTTGTATAAACGTAACTAGGAACAGGTCCTTGTACAGATTCTTCGGTAAATGTGATATTATGCCGTTCATTAAAAGGGAAGGTGAAATGAAGAACATTGATTCAGTGTGTCAGCAGAGCCAAAATTCTTGCCGTAACCGTAGCAAACGATCTTAAGTGCAATGATCATGTGGATGAAGTTATCAAGAAAGTTAACAAGCGTTTATACTTTCCGAGTCAACTTAAACGAGCCCAAATTAAACCAAAGGAACTTACAACCTTCTACAACACGTGTATTCGATCATTGATGGAATATGCACGTGCATTATTTCATGATAAAGCCGTTATGATGTTGAAAATTCTAAATGGACAGACACCTGATTATTTATCAAATAAATTCATCTTCGTAATGATACTACTAGTTATAGATTGCGAAATAGTGAAATGAGGCTGGCTCTTCCGCAGCCTCGTACCGATTATGTTCGTAAAAGTTTCTCTTATAGCAGTGCCGCGTTGTGGAATAGCCTTCCGACTGATATTAGAGTGTCTGAAACATTAGGTGAGTTTAAGACAAAGCAAAGTAACTTCAGTTTTAAGTAAACTAATGACACGCCGTCCCTGAAAAGCAGTACTTTTATTTTCATTTATTTTCATTCTAATAAGAAGTTAGTTCAGTTCGTTTAGATTAGGCTTTTAATCTTTGTATATATTTTATAATGATTATATAGTTTTAAGTTTTACATTTGTAGGTATACTGCTTGTATACGACTGAGTGGAATTTACCGTGGATAAATAAACAGATCTATGATAGCTTACCACAATACCTATCCAATTACCTGGAGCAATGTCAGAAACGTGCCTTGCGCATTATTCATCCGGACAGAAGTTACGAGCAAGCACTGGATGAAACTGGCTTGGCAAAACTATCGGAGAGGCGTCAGATGATTACATGTGAACTATTTATGGAAGCAAGCAGACCGACCAATTTACAATTTCTACTGAGTTGACAAAAGCAAGTTAATTACAATCTAAAAAAAAAAAAAAGTCAGTAGTATGCTTCTGACGTCATTTACACCGGATGTTCTAGGGCCGCTAAAAATCCCGGAGTTGTGGGTAATTTTTAAATAACTGACTAGTCCAGGGCTGTCTTTAATTGGTTAGGACCCAGAGCAACCCTATATACTTCTACAGTCACAATCGTCGTTGCTTCTTCATATGATTACATGTGAACTATTTAAGGAAGCAAGCAGACCAGGACACAAACTGAACAAACTTTTGCCTGCCGATAATAACTGCCATTACAATTTAAGGAAGAAAAGAACATTTAGTATCGCCAAGTTTTCAACTAAAAGAACACAATTAAGTTTTATTAATAACAATGCAAGGAAGGCTAGCACCGTTTTATAATTAAAATTATCTCAATTATGAACTTGTAATTATGTAATAATATATCTGATTATTTAACTCGTCGTCTTTTATACACTTACATATACATATATAGACAGGTATAGATTATTTTTTCACATTTTAAATACATTTTGTAATTTTTTTTGTTTAGTTTTTATATATATCTTTACTTAGTATTGTAACAATAACATAATTCAGCCCTTTGGCTGCTAAGTTTTTTAATAAAGCCATCTACCTATCTATCTATCCCATGCTTTTAAACAAAACTCGAATGACAGCGAAAATGGAAGCTAAAATAAAAGTTTTATGATATAATGACAAAGTTGACGTAGCACTTTCGACTAACTAAAAATGTGCTAATGAAAGTTCTGTGTAAATGGCCCCGTAAACAAGAAGGGTGGATGCTATTTTTTGGTGGGGGGGGGGAGAGAGAAGAAGGGAGGGTGGGGTGATCAAGACTTTGAATTCAGGAAATATTTTTTAACTCTTAATTCCAAAGCAAAGAATTGTTTCACGGGAAGTAAATTTGTAATTTGTCAAATCGAACAGTACTATCACTTTCAAAGCCAGAATGATGCAAAAATTATTTTATTCAATGGTAAACTTTACCTTTGATTATTCTGAGCTGCTCAAGAGCTGCGTCAACAACGACGAGGCTTTCCCTAGCGTCATCGCTTTTGCTGTACTCCGTGGTCTGCTCGTCCCATTTGCAGTTGTTTGGGAGACAGAGCGGAACTGCATATTGTTCAGACATAGTGTTTTTGAAGGAGTTTCGGCTTTAACCTTCTCTACGAAAAGACAGAGTTTCCATGTTATTAAGGTGAGAGAGCGCTGAATGAGAGGGAAACTTCTATGATAAAAGCAACAAATTGAAGGTAAAATGACCTCTCGACACAAATTTTAGCAATAAATTTTCATTTTTTTTCGTAATTTTATATTTACGAGGGTGAAGTAATGAAAAATAACAATCAAGTTAATTTTTGTGGGATATATTCCAAACCTTTTTTTTGTTTTGGTACGGGAATGTTTTGGATTTGCGACATTCCGAATTCTTCCATGTCACACCGATCGAAAAAAAAAAAAACATCCTGCTGTTAAATGGAAGAACGCGGCTGAGTCTTTCAAGAGACTCTTAAGTTACCCAAAGCTAGCGTGCAAGTTCTATTCAACTTAATTTCTTTAACTCACAACAGAAAGATATCTAATGGAGAACAATAGGCTTATTGAATTGCGGGAAGAAGCTAAGTGACTTGAACTGAGAGGATGCTTAAAGCTAACGATAAATAATTCCATCGATTTGATACAATTCTCATCTATTTCGACTAGAAACATCCTCGACAAGCCAGTTCCCGACAGTGGAAAACCTGTCAAAAGTAAAACTAGAAAAGTATGTCTATGTCGGTCAAATTACAGTCTTGATCCCACGTGGTATTTCACAGCGCCGAGATTAGCATGGAACGGGGCTCTAAAGAAAGCTGAAATCACACATAAACTTATCTAAGGCTCAGACAAGCTAATGATGGTGGAGAAGAGGAAACGTGCTCAAGGCAAACCACAAATACGTAAAAGACTTCAATCCGGAAGGAGTCTAAAATCATCAAATTTTTGACGCTAACCGTCTGCATGGATATGGAATGACCAGGAATTTGCCAAACTTTGATTTCAAATGGATTGATTATTTATAAAGGTAATTGAACAGAGTGACTTGCAATTTGGTCTGAAATCATTCGCGTAATTTAAGAATCAAACGAGCGTGTAGCGCGGGTTTGATTCAAAATTACGAGTCACTACCACGACACGAAGTCAAATCACAAGCGCGACACGAAGTCAAATACCACTTCATTACATTTATTTTGAAATCAAACAATTCAGCCACTCATTATATACTCGAAATCCGAGGATGCAGTGGAATAATGCTTCAGCTGATAGATTAGGACTTACGCCTTATGATTGACTAAGGCCGCGTTATTAGAGTCAAAATTAAAATGCATTCTTTTAAAAAATTTTACTACTTAAACCTATTTATTTAATTATAATGGTTTTCGAAACAAGTCTTTTTCTTCACAATTACTTTGTAATAATAACTGATAATGTTTGTTTATATAGGAATTAACAAATGATAAACACCACAGCGTACACTATTGAGTTATGGATGCACGCGGGAGGTTGCTAAGCACGAAAGAAGCGTAAGAGTCGCTCGAGGCGATAGCCGAGAGCGACTCTAGCTTCTTGAGAGCTTAGCAAACCTCCCAAGTGCATCCATAACTCAATAGTGTACGCTGTGGTGTTTACCATTTGTTTTATAACATAACATTGATAAATTGTAGCTAAAGAGTTCCCTTTTATTTAACAAATCTTACGCGACCAGAAAAAACAAGCGCGCGCGGAAAAATAGTCTTTGCATTTGCTCACGTCAGCAGCGTACACCCATGGGCAAATGGGGGACGCTAAATTGACCAATCAGAGCGCGCGCTTTACTTTGGTTATGTTATAATTAACTTTTATTCCACAATTTCTGCTAAAAATAAATTCTTGCTGCGCGTTTGTAGTATTAAGTGATACGCATACGATATCGGAATTTTAAATTGCAAAATTTCTTGCCCGTGCGAATCTTCACCGAACGCCTTCATACTTCTCATGCGATTGACATTTTCTCCGAAATCGATTGACCGATTCAATTTCCTGCGAACTAAAACCGTCTAAGTTTCTGCGAATTCTCCTCCCGATCAAGTTTTCTGCGAAAAACTCAACCAGCTTCAAGGGCAACCGTATCCATTTCATGATTCCCTGTTAATGAAATGCCCACCAGCCTCGTAACATAGGCAAGGCGACATGAGTTGCCGCTTTACAGCGGAACACGCTAAGCTCTTGGACAATATTTATCTTCATTTCATCGGCTTTTCTAGTAGACTAGAGCGAGATTCGAGTAAAGATGTGGCCAATTACGTCTTGAATTAGGACTGCCAACAAGTGGCCTGTCCTATGTCAACGATAGCAAACAGCCAAGTGGGCCAGGAGGATCTGTTATGCAATCTATCATTTTCCATGTAAACAGCTATTGTTGTCAAGCCACGATACGTTGCTTTCTTTTCACTAGACAACTTCCGTTTTAACTTTTAATCCACGACCTCTTTTAATTCATGCATGTACAACTGTAACTTGAACCATCCTTGTATGTAGTCATGTTTAATCCCTTCAGATAGTTTTCTTGAATTCGATAATTCCGAGAAAGTTCATAGCTTTTTTTGTTCGTTTCAAGAATGATCTTTCATCCCTTCTTACAAAGATGTACGATTTTGAACCGGCGTGGTTTTTTATTAAGGACTTAGAGCTTGAGCACTTCTTGCAATTCTGCTTTTATGAGAAATTAATGGTTTTTGATCTTCATTTTTTTCGTCATATCATGAGTTCGCAATGAAACAGTTCCATTGCACTTTCTTTAATTTCCATGATAAATTCGGTAAGGCCCTGTTTTAATACTTTTCACCTTCCAATGACCTTTAAGACCTGATGCCTTCACAACAGCTTGTATTTCAACCAACTCAGCTATTATTTCATATCGTTTTCTGTCAATTGGAACAGTTCTTTGTTTCCAATTTCTATTTCCGTGATATAAAGACACTTTTCTTTAAGACATTTTCAAAATCTATTGCTCGTTTTCATGACTCAATCCGAGGGATTGCGGAAAGTCAGATGAAAACTTTTTTCTGAGGCTCTCTTTGATGTGACCGGTTAAGATTGCCATATTCAAAGTAGGAAGGAATAAATGTACTCACAGAAACGAAATTGCATTTTTAAATCGTTACTCGTCTGCTGTGAAGTCACTTATTGGATTGTTTACATTTAAGGAAACCAGTTATCTTTCATTATTGAGGAATCAATTCGTTCCTGCTCGTTATAATTAGCTGACGCTGCTTATTTTAAGAAAAACGCTTTGACATCTGCCGTTGTTCGATGAACCTTCGAATCGATAGGCAGTCCTATCACTCTCGTTTCCCTGCTACTTCTTTAAGCATGGTTCATAGAGTGATTTGATCAAAGACGGTGAGTCAACATACCGGCTCTCCTATTTGTTTACCGTTATTAGTCAAGCGGTCATGATATTGTGTCCTCACTGGATTATGAGATGGCGAAATGAAATGGCTAGGAATTTTTTTTTTCAGTTTAGAAAATTTATTGTTTGAAATAAAACTAATAACACTGATAAAAATAGATTCTTGTCTGATTGTCATGACATTTGAAACATGCAGAGCCCCTCAAAACTAAGAGAACCAAATGTTTCATGAAATTACATAAACTTCCCTGAATGCCTCGCTACTTAGGCTTCGAAGAACCTATTTAAAAATTTTGAGTAGAACGAGAACTGGGCAATGTTTTCACAGTTGTAATTAACAATTACTGAAAATCGGCCTCAGTCAAAGATGCACAGCAATCATTTGGGGACTCTCTCTCCTAAAATGATACTATTCTATCAAATCGCTTAAAAGAGTTACATTCAAGATAATAAGAACGCAAGAGAATAGTGGCAATTGAGCTCATAAAATTAGGCCTTTTGCGGGGAAGACAAAACCGTGGAAAGGACATTTTTCAACGATTACCTAAGTTATGCGTAATAGATCTATTAGATGTCACTATTATTTAGACATCTGGTGTGTTCTCTTTTCTAAGTAGTTAATTAGGGTTTGGGAGTTTTTAATCGAATGGACTTCTAAAAAGAATACGAGGTGAATAAATACAGCTTGTACTGATTATGCCAGATATGGAAACTGTGGTATACGATCGATCTATTCGTTTGGAACCTAAGTTTTTAAAAGTATATCACAGACATACTTCCATCTTGAATTACAGTTCTGTCTGGGAATTCGAAGAGCGTTACGAAGGAGTTCATATACAATTTCGGCTTATTCTAATCATTTGCAAGCCTTTGACGTAATTATTTCTTTCCTGAATGTAGTCTGTGCTTACATTCTATATCTGTAATGGACAAAGGAAGGAAAGCTAATGAATCTATATGATCTCAGGAGAGGTTTACCGTCACAAAAGGCTGCTAGAGTGTGTAAATACCAGCAAGTTTGTTCTCACTTCACCACTCATTAGGACTTGCCATTAGTAGAACCAGGGATTCTTTGCGACTCGAGTCAGATTTGAAGGCCTTCTTAGGCCTTAGATAACTCCATTGTATTCATTTTTACGCTACGACGCTTCGGTCGCGATCGATCGAAGCTTCAAATTTTAAGAAAGACCATAAACAACTCCCTCGTATTCGTTTTTACTCTACAACGCTTCGATATCGGATCGAAGCTTTAAGATTTCAGAGGGAATCAAGATCAGTTAGCATTAACTTACCTTAGTTGTCAAAACAGCAACAAAGAAAATGACACGCTTCACGAGTTTCTTTCTGTAAAGACAACCAGCAAATGTTACCTTTGAAATGATGAAGAGGGTGGTAGCGCCGTTAACAGGAAAATCTTCCCTTTAAAATCATATGACATGCGCATTACAACTTTATCAAGGGGTATTTCCCCGAAATGTGCTTCCCGAAACACGTGATGTATACTAAAGACTATCAGAGGGGGCATGACCATTTCTCTTACATTTTTCCCTTCGTGAAATATTACGAGTCAGCATTTCGACCTTGGCTTCGAAACTAACCTTTACAATATACGTTCTGTTAGACATGCAACGCGCCGTGACAAAGGCTTGGCCTAGTAACAATTGTTTCTGAATTTATTTTGCGAATGTCGAGTCTGCTTGTCAGAAATTCAAGTTTTTCGTTTTAAGGGAGGTGAATTTCACCAACTAAACGATAAATAAAAGACTCTTAACTAACCTGGTTGGCGGTTGCCGACATATCACTCTACTCCGAGAAGCATAAACATCATTCAAAAAAAAATGTTTAGTTTCTATGGACTAGACTTTCAGCTTCAAATTATCTAGAAATCAGGAGGATCACTTAAACGTTTTCAGATTAAGAAGAATCAATTTGTTTCACAGAATGCGTCTCAAAGTTCACCGACCAGAAAGCGGAACTAAAGGTCAAACAATTAGGAGAGCTAGCTGCTTTCGTTCTTAAACCCATACTGTCTTCTTTAGAGGCATGTTTCTTCGAATCTTTCTTCTTAGAAGCATTTCAGCGTTGTTCATATAAATACGCCTACTGAAAACATTCCTAAAACATTTTTAGCAATTATATTCGCCGAAGGCGAGGTGACCATTGTTGAAAATCTCCTAGAAGAAGCGGAGGGGATTATTCAGCAATCTGCACTAACGATTTGGGTACCTATGAAATAGTCTCCTTAATTCGGTTTCTGCGGTTGGGAAGTACAATTGTATTTAAAAATAAGAAAATTTCAATAGATAAACTGTAAACACGATAAATTATTCGCAGTGACTTCCAATCACAAGCATTGTCTCATTGGATTTCAATAACATTCATATCAGAAGGCTTTCACACTCCCATTGGTAATTTATAACTTCCTTAATTTTGATTCTAATAAAGCCATTTTTGTTATTGTCTTTTCAGTTATACATAAGATCACACTCAACAAAACTGAGGAAAGGGAATTGAAGTTTTACCACTTCATGCTTGAAAGAAGAGGGGATACTCAAATCTTTCTAATGATATTGGTATTCCTTCAACTCAGTGCCCAAGTTCTTGGTCAAAAGCTGTCATATTTGAAATTTGATTGAGCTACAAGCTTGTCGCTGCCTTTTAGTTTCTATGCATTAACGGATATAAACAAATATGGGAAAAAATAATATTGCTTGTCCCTTTTTGAGGAATACAAGAATTGAATACCCTGTCCTAGGTGATATGGGTATCCCTTCCTAGATTGGTGAATCATTTTCCATACTTAAATACAACAGATACAGATAGTATATGTGCACGATCCTTCGCAGTAAAGCACTATTTAAGCAATAGTGAAAATCAGACCTGAAAAAAATTCAGGCCTGAATTTTTTTCAGGTCTGATTTTCACTATTGATTAAATAGTGCTTTACTGCGAAGGATCGTGCACATATACGTTTCATAACCGCAGTTCATATATATGTATTTCATATGTTTGTTGTTAGATTTATCATCTTACGGGTTTATGTCGAATTAATTTGATGGCCTACTCCCAGTTGGCTTGTTAGCTCAATTGGTAGAGCGCTGCACTAGTATCGCAGAGGTCAGTGGTCCGAATCCCGTACAGGCCTGAATTCTTTTTTCAGGTCTGATTTTCACTATTGCTTAAATAGTGCTTTACTGCGAAGGATCGTGCACATATACGTTTCATAACCGCAGTTCATATATATGTATTTCATATGTTTGTTGTTAGATACAAATAGATTACTGTTAATCAACCCTGACAGTCCTTATAGGAGGTGTTCCACCCCACCTGTTTGAGATCCTCAATACACAGAGTCCTCGTTAATTGCGAACAACAACGGTGAATCTAAATCTTTTACTCTCAATAACAGATGCACTTTGTCCTCTCGTTTATATACGAAACCTGGTTTAATTTTTTTTTCCAGAGATGTTTTCGATCATGATGTTGGGCCTAGCCCTGAAACTTGCACAGATATGATATATCTGTGAACCTAGGTTTGCGCTAAAAATCATCTCTATACTACTGCTTGTTAAGTAGCAGACCGTCAGATAACTTGGTACACTTGCCGCCTGTCCAGTGAGAATCACTGATCGTGTTCTGTTTATTCAGAGACCACTGCTGGAAGGTGTGGAATGTTCAGCTTTTTACTATTATATATACTTCCCAAATCCAATGCCTTCTTTTTAAACCTAACAAACCTCTAATGTAAGAATGTAACTTAACATTTAGGATCTTTATCACAAAAACATTGCATACTTTCGATCTCAATTTAGTAATTCTTTATTGCGATAAAGTCAGTCAAAAGGTGGATATATTTCAAAGCTTTCGCTTTAAACTGGTCTTCCAAGCGTTTCCTATCTTCCCCTTGTTTAAATTAACTTTTGTAGTTTCCATCTGGGACACAGTACGAGATTCACTAATTGATATCTGAGATCTTTAAAGTTAGTCTAACTCCTCTTTCAATGGAACTGGAGTATAGGCCTCGAAGAAATGGCAATTGATCAGACTTAGGCTGCCGGTGGGAGTGGGACACCGGTAGAAGGATAATGGTATTGGATAGTTGCAAATAATTCTAACCCACGAAAAACTGGGAACAACAGCAACAAACGTAAACCACCCGATCAATCGATAAACAAACAAACAAACAAAGATAAGAAGAAAGAAACCTCCTGTTCTTTTAACCGAGCGAGCTTTTTCTTTCTAAGGTTCAATCATAAATTGTTACGCATTGTTGATGTAGGTTATTATCCGTGTTTCAATATGACAATATCAAGAACCAAGTTAATTCGCAAGTGAAATTGCATTGGAATCTGTAGTATATTCGATTTATCGTGTTACCGCTACTTACCATTATTGCTATCAGCATTGTTATTATCATCAATCCATGCCATGGACAGTTTCTTCTGTACCATTTCCTCTGATATGATTGGTCCAGACAAAACCAAAACAAACTGATGTGACAGAGAGAGGATTGGGACGATGATATTACTTGCTAAATTTTTTTGTGGCGGCGATGTTGCAAAGCGAAGGGAACGGCGGCAGAACAGAATTCAAAAATTCAAGAGAGATATCACTGACTTATATATTCTTGTACTACTGTATAACAAATCTAATTTTCGACAAACATGTCATCTCTACTCTTGCACCCCGCTGCAGATACTGTCAAAATTGTAGCAGATAGCTCAAATACCGAAATTCAATCTTCTCTCGAGGATGATATGGGAAACTGTAATGATAAAAGACATATATGACCGCATGAGCCTACTACTGTTGTATAGTTGTAAAGTTATGCAGTAAAAGAGAAATGGGGTGTAAGATGCAGAGGGGTTATTAAAAGGACGACCTAGTTAGACCAGAGTTTGTACACTGGTCAATTAACACGCTGGAGAAAGGGATGGAATTAATAAAAACAGGTACATGTATTAAATAAGCATCAGATGTATTATTATACTAGACTTCACCGCCTGGCATGCTGGGTACCTAGCGCAAGGGATATACCTACTCCACCCGAGTCCGAATGTGTTAGGATCGAGCCCTAGCGACTAAGTCTGTTTTTTTGTCTTTCTTTTTCTTTTCGTTCCTTTCTTTGTTTTTTCTTTTTTCCTATCAATTTACATTCTTCAGTCTTCAACGGATATTTCAGATATGTTCAGAGTAAAACACAAGCGAGAACGTTTGACGACGTGACTTTTACCTTCAAATCGACAACAAGTGGTAATGTAGAAGTGAGACCCTGAAGAAACACCGAGCTAAGCCCGACAACTGAAGACCAACAATCAATCCGAAAGAACCCGATTAGATTCGTAGAGCCGAAGCTGAACCACATTACACGAGTCGAGACGAGTCACAAGAAAGAAGTAACGAGTGTCTCAGGATAGTCCCCCATTTTGGAAACCGTTTGGAGCTTGGGGGATGGTTTATGGACTTACACGTGGACAGTAAAAAAAGTACGTACAGCCTTCCTAGAAGAAAGATATAGTAGGCGCAAAAATCAAATTTAGCGAGAACAAACTAGTTTGAGTTGAAAACTCAAAAGAGACAGAATCTAAGACTGCTAAATCGATTTATATTCGGATAAAAGTAAAATGAAGCGACTCTGCAGCTTTTCTGGGGTAATCTTAATTTTGTTACTAATGCAGGTCTTTTCATCTGTCACACAGTTCTTAGAATTTTAGCTCTGAGACTTTTATATATAGTAATTTGGCGTCAAACTAAATCATATCCCCTGGTTATTTATTTGTTTACTTTTTATTTGTATTCCTGTCTTCTTGACCATGTAATGATTTTGTAAGGAGAAGTTACTGACTTCTTAAAGAAATGATATATTCAAAAGGATAGCGCTTACTCAGTTGGCAAAACCCTTTACTCAATAACAGAATTTATAATTAAGACACTGAAAATATTCCACAAATGCGACACTTCACAGCAAGAAAACAAATCTGGTCATGTTTTCATTCGTTTTTTGAGACACAAATTGGGCAAAAATGCCCCCTGAAAACCATCTAACGGAGAGCTATGGCTAAATAGTTGTAAACGGGATGTATAGTGAAATATCTCAACAGTAAATACAGCATATTCTTCCTCTTCCAAAGCTGACTGTATCACTTCCAGTAAAAAGTTCCCTACAAAGATTATAAAAGTTTTGCAAAGTTATCTTTGAGTGCCGTGCATGTCAGTCTGATCATTCTGCGGGTTTTCTTTACATAACAACACATCCCTTCTTTTTTTTGGGTCGAGATCGTGGTGGCCTGTTTGCAATTTGTTGGATCTGTCTTTGAAGATTTGCTATCTCCCCATTTCTTTCATTCATAGAGCGTTGCATGTTTGATAGAGCCTCTTGCAATGTTCGGTTCTGGTCAACGACGTTTTGTCTTTCTCTTTGCAACTGCTCCATGTTTGCTCTCATCATGTTCTGCATTTGATCCCTCTGAGCTTCCATGTCAGTTCTCAATTGTTCTTCTAGGCGTCGTCTCTCTTCTTCTTGTTTTGCTTTTAAGAGCTCCATCTAACAATGAAAAAAAAGTCAACATTTGATCATAGGAAAGCGAGCTCGATAACATTATTTAATGAAATGACGATAAATGAATTGCCTCTGAGATGATGCCTTTCTACGATATGCAGCATAGTTAATAATCAAATTATTTTAAAATTTGTGAGTCAAAAGTCACCAGACTCATTATAATGTAACAGGACTTGTTAAAGCATAGCTTGGCTTTGCACTTACCTTCAGTAGAAAGGGTTTGCAAGAGGCAAAAGCTGTGAGAGAATCAGCATTTAAGCAAGCACATGACGCACTAAACAGAAGATTCGAGGATGTTGACTACCAACAAGCAACGAGGCTAACGAGAGGAGAAGCATTTGACTTTTGCCACCCTCTCAGCTTTCCGTCGAGGAAAAACAAATCCATGCAAATCTTTATATAATGCTAGCTTGTTAGAGATTGATTTTTTGTGACAATTTATTGTACGGCCGTAATAGCTTGTTTTCTATCAACACAAAACGCGGAAAAAATCTCGGTTTATGCCACTTATCCATTTATATTTCAGACCCTCGAAATCTCGGGATGTCTTACAGCCAAATAATCCAACCAGACGACAGAAAGCAACCAGACTAGAAAACAATCTCGAATGTAACCAACTAGCACCATACGATTCGTTTCTATTCAAGCCTAGAACACAACGCTTGAGATTATGTTATTTCATCAAAAAAATCTGATTTAAGAATTATCTTTTACATTTTGATGAGAAGGATTGGCTAAACGGAAGGAGTCAAGCACTAGTACACCAGATCATTCACTTACAAACCAACGCCGGTTTGCAACAACTAAACAAAGACCACAAGAGGTGGTCACGATCATTACATTATAACGCTAATTAGATTTACTAATGATTTTATCTATCAATTGGTAACAGTTAGCCGCAACAGGCTCTAGTTGGTGAACCGAAACAACATTATCGATTCAACGAAACAACATCTATATCGAACCAACATGTTTCAATTTCCTTCCCTCGCAGTTTACTATATAATGGTGCGATTTGGGAATAAATTGCTTCAATTAGAGCCAATCAGATTACAGGGACCACCAGTGATTTCAAAATGGATATAATAAAAAGGAAAATTGAACACACCTCCCTTTCCTTCCTAATCCTTTCTTCTTCCAAACCTGCCTTTTCCTCCTAAAGATTAAAAACACAACATAATAGTGATAAATTAATCATAAAATAAGCAAATGGATTAATAATGAACAAAGCTTTTGCATACCTACCAAATGGTATAGTCCAAGGAATGCTTTACTTTTGTATGAACGTCTGACAAGTAATTACAGTCTGTTTTGCGAATGGTACTTATTGACCCTCTTAGTCTGTTTCTTGGTTTCATTTGTTTATTTTTCATTTTTGTTTATGTCTAGTCACTTGTTTTCTGTACCTCAACTCTCTTTCTTTCTTCCATTTCTTGTGCCCTGGCTTCCTTTTCATATGCCAGGTTCTCGTCAAAGTCCTTGAGTTGCTGCAAATGTTCCATGTGCTTCTCCATCTCATTCTGCAACTCCTGCAGTAAAGTCGGTAACTCAAGCTAAACAAATAGCTAAGCTATGAACATGTGCGATGTAATACTAAGCTTGTTCACAAATAAGTTAAAACAGATTTTCAATCCAACTCCGGAACCGTTTGAATTGAAGCGTGTCAGTAATGATATTGAAATATGCATAGACCATAGTTATCAATGTAGCCCTGCTCTAACCTCTCTCTCTCTCGCTGTGTCTAGTTTCTCAGAGGGAAGGTGTCGATAAAAGGCAAATTTAACGTTAGTGCCTCGAGTAATCTTGATTTCAAACTTATCGAGAAAACTGATACGAAACTGATGCCAAACGTTATGTGCCAAACTGATGCAAAACTAAACCTAATCGCGACTCAACCACAGACATTTTTCCGCGATTGAGGCAGTTCACATGCGTTTATTTTGATACACAGTTGGTTCCTGTTACATTTTCTTTTAATTGTTCGGATTAGCCGTTCAATTTTCCTCGATTATGTTCTTATTTACTGACACCCTCAATTGAAGAATCGTAAATGGGTACAGGTGACTCACAGGATGGAAATCCAGAAACACTTGCGCACAGACGTCCTCTGCCCCGGTGGCCTCTGCCTTAAATCCTTGCTCGATAGCGCTATAGCAGGCCATCACTTCAGCAAACGAAACCTTTGCGCCATCCTTTCCCCTCAGTTGGATCAGAACTGGATCAAGGTGTTGATTCTTCAGGCCAATCAGCAGCTGCTTACAGGTTTCCTTGGTCAGCTGCGTGTTTCGCTCTTGCCAACTGTTCAAGCCGTTTTCCATGTACGCCTATCAGAGTTATTTCCAAATCTGTTAACAGAAAGTATCTTACAATACTGAAGTAATAGGCTGTGCCCTTTGCAAAGCAGGTAAAAGTTATTCATTGTTACCTCTCACCGGCAGTTTTGCTGTCGTTCTGAAGGAGCTCTCTCTCTATATAGGATTATTATCGAACATTGATTTTCAAGCGTTTTTCAGAGCTTAGATTTTTAAACGTATCGCAGAACCCTCCCAACGACCTCTTGACATTAACTATGATAGCGACACTCAGGAGAAAGTAAGATCCATTTAGCGCTGCAAATAACCCTCTCTTTTCAGATAAAAGGAAAAACTTTAGAGTATAAAGCAACCCAAGATGCTCAGTGTCAAATACATTAGTAATATGTTGGTGTAGGAAATCCCACTAACCGTTAACTCGTTCAGGTACTTGTCTATATTAGCGGTGGATATTCCAAACGTCTCTTCCTCAAACAGTTTTAGTGCTCGTTCAAGAGCTACCAGCTGAGCTTGACGGACGATATCCCTCTCACATGGCAGCTTCCCAGACATTTCCATTTCCATTTCTTTATCGTATTCCTCCACAGCAGCTGTTTTGGCCTGGCTACATTTGGTGGAGACGAAGACATCCCAGGCGTTCTGAACATTGGGAACTGTTCCTGGGGTGTTTAAAGCCGTGACGTAACTTGTTACCATGGCAGCGAGGGCTAGACAGTAACAAAAAGACTTTTTTTCATAAAAAAGATGTGTCCTTTCATGTTTCGATTCTGTCTGCAGTTATCGTTCATTGGAGGGAATTTTTCAAATAAAAGGATTGAATTTCGCGAAAGCATTCGATTTTTTTTAAATGTTTTTTCCTTAAATTGCATCGGAATCAATACCAGTGCTTACATTAGTCCAATAAAGATTTTTCCGTTAAAGTCTGCTTGCTTAAAGTTTTGCCCACTTTCCTACATTTTGTTGCTCTTAAAAATCTTAGAACTAAGTACCCAGTTAGACGACTGATGACTCAACAAACGATTCATTGCGGAGAGAAATAAAGTAGCAGAAAGTGAGCGGTATAGATAAAACTGTGACTGCATCGATTGTTCCATAACAAATTATGTCAATTACTATCATTCTTCATTAAAATGTTCGCAATACAAAGGTCCAAAGGTATTCCTTAAGACTCAGAGACTAACTAATGGACAAATTAATGAGCTGGATATCGATGTTTTGGTCAGTCGGTCGGTCTGTCGACTCCAAAGGTTCATATGGTTGAGCAAGGCAAACCCTAAATATTCCCCAGTATTGTACCTTCACCGGTGACAAACTCTGCCTCGTTAAAGCTGTGCTTTGGAGTCAGTTTAGATCTCATAACTGATTTAAACTCATCGACCCCACGAATGAAGGACTTGTTGATGTCATCCTGTACTTCATCTCTGTTGAGGTTTAACACCACATCCGGTTCAGACGAAGGGGGTGGCAACTTGAAAGCGTCAAATCCAGGAAAATAACTGAGGATGCTCTCTGCCACTGCTTTTGCTTTGTCAGTTTTCGGGCCAGATGAAGTCTTGAATACCTGGAAAGTGCATACACTTCTTTTCATAAAAAAGACTGTTTTTTCTGTAACATTTTGTATCATTACCTTCAAGAAACTTCGGCTCGTTTTGGAAATGAATTGCCGTCGATTAAATGTTACTATGAAGTGTAACTGTCTGAATCGAATGACAATTCATTTAACAATTTTAAATCGTATATAAATTTCCGTTCATTCAAAAGAGTATGTTTCTGCTGAAACATTTTTTATCGTTACCTTCAAGAAAGTTCAGCCAATTTCAGAAGTGAATTACTCATTAAATGTTACTAGGAAGGGTACCTTTTGGAATCGAATGACATTTTATCTATCATTGCGGAATCTTAAGCTTGGTAAAGAATTTTTTTTTAATATGCTAGTGGTAACCGTGGTATTTTGTCAGCAAATTTCTCAAAGTAAAGAAGATAAAAGCATCTAAATATAATTATTTTGAAGACCATTTCCCTCCAAATTGAGATATACACATTTTTTACTGAAAAAATGTTTTGAATAGTTAAATCTTTTGTACCTTTGTCAAGAAGTAATCTTTTATACTGTGGCAACCTTTAGGAAGGGCAAGAACAACATCT